AGGCGAGGCGGGCTGCGGCCGGGGGGCCCTGCGCCCCCCCGGAGCACGTAGGAGCCGGGCTGGGGTACCCAGCAGACACACAGAGGAGGCCTGGGAGAAGTAAATAACTTCCTCGACTAGTACGTCCGTTTCTGCGATTACAGAAGAGGTTTATAGGATTTGTGGGGCCGTTTTGTATATGGGCACGTGTAGCGATTCTGGGCGTGCAGCTACTGAAAGTGTAAATGGAATTTAAAAGTAATATACCTCTGTGAATGCTGCTAGGCCAGATATGAGCGAAGACAAGGTAATGGTGCAGAAGGTGGCGTTAAGAGCAGTAGCATAAGATACGGAGTTGAAGGTTGCATTTCTGTAGAAATCTTCAAAGAGGGCAAGCATTTCTAGGCTGTGGAACAGACTTCAGACAAAAAGGACAGACTGATTTTTGTCAATTAATGCACTTCAATTTGGCAGAGACACTTTTGTCTACATGTTTTAGGGAGTGGCTCTTTACCAGCAGCACACCCACATGTCATGCCACATCACATCTCAACTAATCCCTTCCCTTCTTTAATACTGGTGTGGAATTTGTAAACACAGTAAATCCTTTTGTCAGCTTGTAGGTGGCTGTGTTGGTTCTGTCTCAGTAGGTATATACCAGCAAAAACAGTGTGCTGTGTGAAGAATCCTGAAGATGTTGGCCTGAAACGTATATGTGTCAAAACCTTGGGGTTAAAGTCATTCTGAACCATGTTTTTGTTTGTATAAAGATGATCTCAAATTAAAAAGGTATTTGGGTTTGATAACATTCCTACAAATTATTTTCTCCACAGTTTCCATATGCATGGATATCACCTGAATTTTCTTACAAGAGCTTAAATTGTGTGTCAGCTTACCCTAAAAATGAGTGGCTCCAAACCTGATATTCTGTGGGCCCCGCACCACGTCGACAGATTTGTTGTATGCGATTCGGAATTGAGCCTTTATCACATTGACTCTGCTGTAAGCTCAGACCTCAAGGCAGGGTCCTTGCGGTTATCGGAAGAAACTACAGCTACACTGTTGTCAATAAATTCAGATACACCATATATGAAATGTGTGGCTTGGTATCCAAAGTATGATCCTGAATGTCTCCTTGCTGTTGGACAGGCCAATGGTCGAGTGGTGCTTACTAGCCTTGGTCAAGATCACAACTCAAAATCTAAAGATTTGATAGGCAAAGAATTTGTTCCCAAACATGCACGGCAGTGCAATACCCTTGCATGGAACCCACTAGATAGTAATTGGCTTGCTGCCGGGTTAGATAAACATCGAGCTGACTTTTCAGTATTGATCTGGGATATCAGTAGCAAATATGCTCCAGAGACTGCAGTTGCTACAGAGAAAGTAAGACTTTCAGCAGGAGATCCAGAAGCAGGACTGGTAGTAACAAAGCCACTGTATGAATTAGGACAGAACGATGCTTGTCTCTCTCTCTGTTGGCTTCCACGGGATCAGAAGCTGCTTTTAGCTGGAATGCATCGAAATCTGGCTATCTTTGATCTGCGGAACACAAGCCAAAAAATATTTGTAAACACCAAGGCTGTCCAAGGAGTGACTGTTGATCCCTATTTCCACGATCGTGTAGCTTCCTTCTATGAAGGCCAGGTTGCCATATGGGATTTAAGAAAGTTTGAAAAGCCTGTTTTGACCTTGACAGAGCAACCAAAACCTTTAACAAAAGTCACGTGGTGTCCGACAAGAACTGGACTGTTAGCTACCCTAACAAGGGATAGTAATATCATTAGACTGTATGACATGCAGCATACTCCCACCCCCATTGGAGATGAAACTGAGCCAACAATAATTGAAAGAAGTGTCCAGCCATGTGAAAACTACATTGCTTCGTTTGCCTGGCATCCCACAAGTCAAAATCGAATGGTAGTAGTGACTCCCAACAGGACTATGTCTGACTTCACAGTTTTTGAAAGAATTTCTCTTGCATGGAGTCCAGTGACATCCTTAATGTGGGCTTGTGGGCGACATTTATATGAGTGTACAGAAGAAGGAAAGGCTAGTTCCTTGGAAAAAGACATAGCAACCAAAATGCGGCTCAGAGCTCTGTCAAGGTATGGTCTTGATACTGAACAGGTTTGGAGAAATCACCTACTAGCTGGAAATGACGATCCTCAGCTGAAGTCGCTTTGGTACACTCTGCATTATATCCTTTATTTTACCGTCATTTATATCCTAAAGAACTAATATACCTTAATATGTACACCAGTTATATGAAATGCATGAAAATATTTAAATAGAATGCAACATCCTGTAAATAATTTTTATATGTTAATAGGATGTGAATTTAAATTTAAAAAAAAAAAAGTTTTTCAAACACTTGGGAAAAATTAAGCTTCCTATACATGAAAATACTTATGAAGCAGTATACTGAAGATATGGATCAAAAACTTACAGGAAACAAAGGTCCCTTAGTTTATGCTGGCATTAAATCAATTGTGAAGTCGTCTTTGGGTAAGAATGTTCCAACTTTGATAAGTTCTATGGTAGTATGTTTACAGAATGATGCACTCATGGGTTAGTCTTTAAAAAATAGGTGAAAGAAGCTATTTAAAAATACAGAAACAAAGTATTTATCTTTGTGTTTTAATATATATGTTAACAGTTTATATTAATTTCCAGAACCTTCAGTGTTCTTGGAAAGTCAGTAATCATAAGAACAAAGTATCCTCAGAGGTGAATCTTCAAGTGAACTATTTCAAAACTGGGATTTGACTGCAGCACTGAAAATTCTTGCTCCTCACATAACTTCAGTTTTTCAAAGTTCCAGATAGGGGTATCATTCTAGGAAGCTGACTTTACTGTAGTCACTGCTAATGTACATCTGTATAACTGTGTTTAAATAAGCTGTCTTCTGAAGTGGTAATAAGCCCTGGTGCATCACGTTATTCCTCTCATGCATAGTGAAGTTTTAGTATAATCTGTTATTTGAATCTTTCCTTCTCTCTTCATTATGTATCTTATTAATATTTATGCTCCTTGGAGCAAAAAATAACTTCAGTGGTGGGAAGAGCTTCTAGCATGTTAATGCTGGCTAAGAAGAGAACTGGTAGAGCAGGTGCTTGAGTGTGTATTACGTATTTTCAAATTGAACATACTGGTCACTCCTGTCAACTGTAACAAGAACCTCCAAAATCTTAGGAGGTAGAGGAAAGAAAAAAAGACTTAGTGGGGATTATGTATCAAGTTTAGATGCATGATTTTTAGCAGATAATAAGGAGCAGCATACACAAAATTACTATTATGGAGTTTTTAGTGATGTTAATTTAAAGTACTGAAATATGATAGCTTTTGTACTCTGCTTTATGATTTAAATCAAATCATTGCATTGTGATTGCAATTTAAATTGTGATTTGAGCATAATCTAACTTATTTTCTGTTTCTAGGAACAACAGAGAACCTCAGGCACAGCAGGAGTGGATCTGATAGACAGGCAGATATTATTCAGTATCTGAGTGAGGAGAGATCCTTGGCTTTGCAGCTCTGTGGGTGGATAAAGAAGGGAACAGACTTAGATGTGGAACCTTTTTTGAATTCGTTGGAACAGGAAGGAGACTGGGAGCGAGCTGCTGCTGTAGCACTTTTCAACTTGGACATACGGCGAGCAATACAAATTCTAAATAAAGGGGCTTCCTCGGGAAAAGGTGCGTATTGTGTTTAATATCTTTTATTTTGGCATTATATCACCTTAGTAGATTTTTTTTTTCTGTAAACAGAACTATAGAAGATAGTATGGAAAAGATACCTGTTTTCTTAAAAGTAGTTACTCAAAGTGGTTGTATTGGAGCCTGAGAATCTGACAAATCCTGATCTTTCACTCCTCAGACTACCATATGCCTTACTGTCTAGTTAAAATAGATTGTATGTTTCAGAATTTCCTATTGATACATACACCAGAAAGTGTTACATTCAGAATTAGTGGGATTCTGTTATTTTAGTGGAATTGCATCTTGGCTAGATGTTGTGTATATCTGCTTCCGTTGGGCTGTATGCAGCTTTCCACCAGCACAATGGCTGTGGAATAACTGAAATGTAATATTCAGGGTCTGCAGAAAACATTTGTTTTGGAGTAATATTTGGTAAGAGTTCCAATGTATGAGGGGAAAATTAAGATACTGGAGCCAGCAGATGAGAAGTATTTTTGTTCTGTTTTCTTTCCTGTATTCCTCCTACAATTCTGATTTGCATCTGTGTTCTCTTATTAAATTTAAAAGACTATCTTGCCACTGAAATGGGTAGGTAAGACACAAAGGGAGCAGTTAAGGTTCTTTTGGTTTTAATATTGCCCTTTTTTTGGTGTGTGGGGGTGGTGTGCTTTCCATAGGTAAGGTTTGAAGTGGAAATGTGCTATCTTCCAATTTAAAAATAAAATTGAACTCTCTGACAGAATGAATATTTAGATTAAATAGATTTAATGTTCTTGGGAAACTTGTTAACTTGAAGCTGCTATATGCAGTTGTCATAATTCAGCTAGGTCTGTTAAGTGATGGCTGTATATACAATTCTATCTTTTCGATTCTTGTGGGTATGAATTATGGTAATGACAGTCTTATGATAGTGACAGGAACACATTTAGCCATTCGAAACTGTTTCAAAATACCAGAACCAGTGTAATGTTGCTTAAAGTATAACTCGGGCTGTCATGCATGTGGGCTTGTGACTTTTAGAGCTGTTAACTTGAACAGAGGCATTTAAAGCAGAAACTAATAAATGCTAGCGTATGCACATTTATCTTAGCTAGTGTTAATTCTACTGCATTTTGTCTTGCCTCCTGACAAAATGTTGTTTCAAACTGATGCTTTCAATTACAGCTTTAATTTGATTTTTTTTAAGTCCTTAACTTGAATATTGTTTCACTGATTTTTTTTTTTAATAAATCAGGTGATCTGAACCTAAATGTAGTAGCAATGGCTTTATCAGGCTACACAGATGAGAAGAACTCACTTTGGAGAGAAATGTGCAGTACTCTAAGACTGCAATTGAACAATCCCTACTTGTGTGCTATGTTTGCTTTCCTGACAAGTGAGTCAGGTTCATATGATGGTGTTTTGGTGAGTAAATTTCTGTTACGTTAAAATTCCTTTAAGCAATAGGTATATATATATATATATATACACACACGCACACACACAGATATGCAGGGGAAGTGCTGTATACCCATGAAGTAATTAGATTAGAATGTATTATTTTCTCCCAATACTGGCAGGTAACATTTTTTTTCTGCTAAACAGACATCGCATTTTAGTGAATGTTTGTTTGTGAACAAAACATGCATAAGTAGCCAAAATATCCAATATAGTTCACACATTTTTTTAGAGGAAATTTTTTTTAGCATGGAGTTAGTAAACCATTAGAAATAAATTATGAAAATAATTTAAGCAGGTGGAAAAAAGGGCAGAGGTTAATAATGGAAATGCACAAAACAGAGTAAGTGCAGGGTAGCTTGCAGAACTTTCAGCAAGCTATATTTGCACTGAATTGTATTTTTTCTTTGTTTACTTTAAAAAATAGTTTCACTGTGTTGCAACAGTAAACAACAGTTTGACATCTTCTGAAATTGGTATAAAACTGCCATGTGAAGAGCGAACTAAATCTTTAATTATGAGATACTTTGAGCCTTTGGAAGAGTAACGTATTTGATCCTTGGTTAGAGAACAACAGAAATACTTGATTCAGTAGGAGTTATTTAGCCCAGGGAAGGTCTCCTATAATGCAACACAGTAATTGGCCTAAACCCATTGAAAACAAAATTTTCATAATATGATGCTTTTAGGCTATTAAAAAAAGGTAAAAATTCCAGAGAAGAGAAACCTGAGTTGTTGGGTTTTTTTTTCTTCAAGAGAGAATGTTCTTATTCTCTGGATGTTAAATAATAATTTTATAGTTGTTTTTTATTGATGAATTGGAAACCAACAGATCATAAGGTGTGTTATTTTAATTTTTACTTCAGTGAGACCTGTTGAAGTTTGCGTGAAAAAGATTTTGCCAAGCACATGTCCTTGTTTTGGCAGTGTCAATCACAATTTCTATTCTGAGAATGTCAGAAGGAGAAAAATACAGGCACAGCTAAGTAGCAGAATTAGTCTAGCAAAGGATTTATTTTCTTCAGTGTAATGGATTAAAAAGCAGAAAGTAAATATTATTGCATTCCTGCACCTTGAGTGTACCTGTGAGAAATCCATGTTCTGGGTGTTTGGAGTTAGTTTTTGGTTGTTTGGGATTTTTAAATTTTATTTACTAACTTATAGTTGTGATTTTAGGAAGGAATTGAGTGGTTAGGCTAGTTTTTTTGTAAATACGGTAAATGAAGCTTGGTTTATTTTTCTTCCCTCTGTCATTTGGTGAGACACTTGTTTATATGTGCTAGAAGCACTAAGCCCAGCTCTATATGACTTGTAAAGTTTCTTTTTCTAGAGTTTCATAAACTACGTTGGATGTATTGTACCAGGCTTTCCTGCCATTTGAGTAGAATGTTCCAGTAGCTGCAGTCTTGCTCTGATACCTGTATCTGAGTATAAACAATCTGACAGTGTTAGCTTTCTTCCAGTGTTTTCTTTGTACATAATCAATGTCATAGTATTAGTTATAGAGTATGCAAATGTTCTGATTTTTACAAACAATGTATTGAAAAAGTGGAAACTAGCATGTGATGGTAGTATTCCCATTTTTATCTCCAAAGTATGAAAATAACGTAGCTGTAAGAGACAGAGTGGCATTTGCTTGCAAGTTCCTCAATGACGCTCAGGTAAGTTTGTGGTTGCACATTTAAGTGAACTGTTAAACTGGGCTTTATTTAGAGGTGGATGAAACTCTGGGGTGGAGTGGTGAACAGAGGATGCAATGAGTCATGAGTGATTTGGTTTTTCTTATCACAGTAGGATATAAGGTATGCTATACTCTAGTGTTCAGTTTGGACATTCAGCTTGATTTTTTTATTTTTCTTGTTTGTTTGGGTTTTTTTAATGACATATGAGTTTGTTAAATGCTATTGCATTACCTGTATGTGTATTTTACTGGAGAGAATTTTTACTTACTCGGTACTTACTTCCAGATAGTTACATTCTCTCAGATTAAGGCCTGGTTTTGCAGCAGGAATATTTTCTTTTAAATTCACTGAAGTATTTAAAGAATACGTAACCTCCCTCTCTGCACTTCCTATTAGGAGGCTTACAGTTTGTTGATAGATGCTTGAATTCTTGCAATATAGTGGATATAGCCATATAACTTTTTCTGTGTAATATCCAGCAAGCAGCAGACACTCTTAAAGAAAGCTATTCAAATTGTGAAAAGTTTTGTCATATGCCAACATAAATGAGTTAGGAAGAACAGACATCAAAAGTTAAGTAAATTTATTTTTTATAGTTGAACAGGTTTATTGAAAAGTTGACAAATGAAATGAAAGATGCTGGAAATTTGGAGGGAATACTGTTAACAGGGCTGACAAAAGATGGAGTTGACTTGATGGAAAGTTACGTTGACAGAACTGGAGATGTCCAGACAGCAAGCTATTGCATGCTACAGGTTAGTGTTTCACTGAAAAATAAATCTTTATAGAAGAGAAAACATAGTTTCTTTAGCAGTATAGTACTGAAATTTGTGAACCAAGAAGTATTTTCTGTAATAAATTGGGGCAATATATATCATGCCTGTTTTGCGGAATCATCTGAAACACTCAATGTTAACTATAAACATGTATCTTCACTCTCTCTGGTTGAGATGGCTTGAGGAAATAGTAGGGGAAAGAGACAAAAAGAAAACAGTCCTTCTCACTAGCTAAACAGAGAATACCCATCCGCCTGCTTATTGCTGGTGTGTTATCCTGACAGGTTGTGGTTTGTTGTTTTGTTTGTTTGTTTGTTTTTTGGTGTGTGTTTTTTTTGTGTGTGGGTTTTTGTTTGGGTTTTTTTTTTCCTTCTCCCAGGATTTTGATAGAGAACTGAGGTGAGGTTCTTTGTAGGCATTGGGTTTGGTTTTTTTTCATGATGGACTTGTCTTGGCTCTTACACAGTTGCAGCTATTGCCAGCACAGTGTTTAATTGTGTATGTAATCATAACAATGATAAAGACTGTGATATGTGACAGAATTATATAATCCTTCAGCTGACAGACACAGGTTTTTAGGAGGACATGGCAGCACAAGTATTTTCAGCCAGAGGGGCAGACTGAAGAAAACTTTTATAAAACTCGCATTACAGTTTAACACAAAATTAATCTTTTTCTAGACAAATTACACTGTATTATTTCACAGATCTTGTACGCTTTGTAAAGCCTTTTGAATAAAGTGATTATTATGTATTGTAAATCTTCAGTGTGTGTCTGACATTTTTTTTCCTGCCTGCCTTAGGGTTCTCCATCAGATGTACTTAAGGATGAGAGGGTTCAGTACTGGATCGAGAACTACAGGAATCTTTTAGATGCTTGGAGATTTTGGCATAAACGTGCAGAATTTGATATCCATAGGAGTAAGCTGGATCCCAGTTCAAAACCTTTAGCCCAGGTAAATATAACTGTTGTATATGAAGTATGACCAGTCCAGAAAGGAAGGTGGCACAGTACATACTTCTTCAGTACATACTTCAAGTTTCTGGCTATACCTTGGCTTTCATGAGGATTCATGTGCAAAAGAAAGATTTCAACTAAGGCTGCCCTAAAAAAGTAGCTGTGTTTTTTTCCAAAATATTTTTTTAGAAAGGACTTGGTAACTGTTTTGATAAGAGAGTACAGAAATACAGTGAAAAAAATCTACATTTCTTCATATCTATCTAGGAAATCAGTTCGCTGCCATTTTATTTGTGTACTTTCTTTTTGTTTCGTAAACTTTTTTTTTTTTTTCAAATAACAGGTGGTCTTTCAGAAACAAACTTTTCAACACTTTTTCTGGAAAAGCTGGAGGTTTTTTCCTCCCTTGTTGAAAAGCAAAATCAGGGATGTATCATGCAGCTCATCGGGGTGAGAATGATGTTAAAACCAAGGAATATGAACCAAGAACTATTTCAAGCTGGCTCTGTCTTAATTGATGCAAACCTCAAGCTATTGTGAGGCCCTTGAACCTTAAACTAAAAAGTGAACAGCAGCAACTTTCATTATAATTTTTGAACATAAGCTAAAACCAAAACCTAATGCCCTGTCCGAATGCTATCTGCTTAACATCTGGTGGCATTTTTAGCCAACATGGTCTTACCACAGCACCTTCCACTCCCTCATGTCTGCTGAGTCTGTGCATTACAAGCCTTAGGGCCCAAGGGTTTCTAAGGAAGGCTCGTTTTGAATTCATGTATCTGTCGCAGCTGTTTAAGGAGAGCTCTATCTGTACTGCTCCAAGTGGGAGGGAGTTGAGTTTACTGCTCCTTCCTTATGTGATCAACATAAATAGCCTCTCGATTTCAAAATGTGTGCCCCTTGGTATCAAGTTACAACTTGTGGCATAAGGTATGCAGATAAAGATTATTAGGAAAATCCTCATGTTTGGGACTCTAGAGTGGGTCACCTGACTATAAGGAGGGGAAAGACCAGATTTAATTATACAGTGAGAGTAAAAATTTCTTTCGTTACTGCAGATACAGATTTTTATTACCTTAAATAATAATTCTCCAAGTTTTAGCAATTGTGCATGTTTTTATGTACTTTTCTGGTAAGTGCGCATCATTAAGGCCTACTTCTCAGGACTGTGTGCCACATCTGTAAGCCAAGAGGTTAGGAACTCCTTCACAAGTAGCCTTGGCTTTCCAGAGCACTCCAGAATAGCTGGTAAATAAGTGTTTGCTAGCTTGAACAAATTTACTCACAGGTGTAGCAAAAGTGGGACCAAACAAAAATAACTAATGAGCTTTTGTTCTCTTTAGGTGTTTGTGAGTTGCAATTTCTGTGGAAAATCAATTTCATACAGCTGTTCAGCTATCCCTCATCAGGGGCGAGGTTTTAGCCAATATGGAGTTAGTGGTTCACCTACTAAGTCAAAAGTTACAAGCTGTCCTGGTTGCCGTAAACCCCTTCCTCGCTGTGCACTTTGCTTGATAAATATGGGAACACCAGTTTCCAGCTGTCCAGGTATGACACAGTAGGTTTTAGTATTTCAGCTAGAGTACTAGTTAGAGGCCTAATTAGCAGTTCCTGTTGGAAGATCTTCTGTTGCGCCGCCTTCTTTCTATTTGTATTCATACTGTAAATACTCATTCCCGTCATTTTGAGGGAGGAAGACCATAATAGAAAACTCGTTTACATCCCATCTGATTTAGATGAAACCAATGTCTCAGTTCTTTAGTGTGAGACAGGATGCACAGATACTTGGTTCCGACAGTTTTCCAGTGAGACTGTTGGTGAAATTCCATGGTTAGATGGATTAAAAGATTCAAGTATTGTGGTGACCAGTATTGTGAGCTTTAAAACTGTAAGAAATAGTGTGTTTTCTTGAGATAAGTTGTAGGGATGCTACAGAAATATTGGAATGTAACTTAATTGATTTTTAGCTGGAAGAGAGAATAAATTTAATGTGGTATACTTTCTGTCACTGAGCATGAAAGAACATATGGGTCATGCTGCTACAGCTAAGAAATACTACGACAATAATCTTTTGGTTCTAAAGGTCTCGGGCTCAGCTTTATACAAGGACTAAATGAAACCGCTTATTTACATATTTTTAGGTCATTCTTGTTACAGAGCCATGACCAGCTGTGCAGTGATCATCTATTTATATATCTCTTCTCATGCTTTCACTGCTTTGTGTTACGACTTCTACAGTGTAGTTGTTCCAGTTCATAACTTAATTTTGTTGATTTTTCTAAAGCAGAACATTTCACGTGCAGTAAAACAGGCCCATAAATCAGTGGAGCACAAACCAATCACTGAAACATGGATCACTGTTGAAAGACATTCTGTAAAACTTATTTAATAGGCAAGTTTAGTATGTCCATAAGATGTGAAAGAACAGCTTAACAATATAATTTTTGTTTTGGCATTCCACCAGTTCTTGATAATTTTACTGACTTCTATTTTAAAATCAGGCCACCTCTTCACATAATGTTCCTAATTTCATATTTATTCTAATAGCATTACTGGGACTGACATATAAATGAAGTATAATGACTTACAAGTGTATTTGTGGGGGTGGGTTTGTCTCTGCACAGGAGGATCCAAGTCAGATGAAAAAGTGGATCTTAGCAAAGACAAGAAGTTAGCCCAGTTCAACAACTGGTTTACTTGGTGTCACAACTGTAGGCATGGTGGACATGCTGGGCATATGCTTAGCTGGTTCAGGTAAGTTGATCTTAAACTCCTTATTTCTCATGTGTATGCTGCACCGAGTAGGACATCCTTTGCTGTATCTATCATTATAATATTTTGTTGGTTTAGAACATATGCAAAACTTGTTTTTCTGAGATACTATGTCCCTGCACATACTTAAATGTATAGATTGCAAAATTCTTGTTAGTTTTATTTTACCTGTTTTTTCTGTTTTCTGCTATTGGTATCTAGGGACCATACAGAGTGCCCAGTTTCTGCCTGCTCTTGTAAGTGTATGCAGCTGGATACAACAGGGAATCTCATTCCAGCAGAGACTGTCCAGGCGTAAATATTGTCCGAAAATGTGGGGCTCTAATGGATGTCCATCATAGTCCAAGCATGGATTTTGGATGAAGGTCACTTGTGACTTAATGACTGTGAAAAAATAAATTGCTGTCAGATTAGTAAAATTCTGTGTGTATGACTGTGCTTGGTAGAAACAGGTATTCCTGTAATGAGCCTCTGGGTATCGTCTGTGGTCCTTGTTCAGAGGATTGAAGCAGTTCAGTTCAAAAGCACTCCTGGAACTGTGGACTCTTTGGATTTGCTAAAATCCAAAGAACTTTTAATAAAGTTTTCAGGGTAATGCTGATCAGCCCTGCTACTTGTTTTCCAAACAAAGCAGTGTTTATATGCTGTGAAAAGTGGGCCTTTAAAAAAAAAAACAACAAACAAACCAAAACACCTGAAGAGTGTTCTTCAGAAGATTAGTCATGCTGTGGATTCCTCTGTTCATTGTTTGATCACTCTTTCTTGTATGCAAACCATTGTTTCCTCCTAAATTCATTCAGAGTGCCACTCCTAATTGTATTCTAAAGGTTTTTATTTTAAAGAAAAATCAATTTATTTCTATTCCCTGATTTTGTTAATTGTAAAGCATTATCTTTGCAATTCAAGGTCTTACTTAATTTACTTGCATACCTAGCTGATGTGAATTTTAAGAATTTGGGGGGTTTGTCTCCTAGCGATGTCTGTGTCCTAAAGGAGAGTTCCCTGAAGAGTCACATATCTTTTGTGCAGTGTGCAGGTAAACTGTAGGAAGTTTGATTGATTGATTTTTAATGTAGTACTATGAAGATCTGAAATTTTAAGGACCGGAGACTTGTAAATATTTAAGTTTTAAACTACATGCTGAGTTTTGACTACAAAAATATTTAAGACTTTTGGATAATCAACATTTTCCTGTACTTCTGAAATATGCTGGGAAGTGTGAAATCAACTGATATAAATCCTGCTTCTGGTCACTAGCTGGCACCAGTCTGCTCCCAAAACGCTGCACATTATTAGGTCATTGACCAGAAGTAGTTTTAGATATGTTACCAGCTGGAATTCAGATTATTTATTAACTTGAGAGAGAGTCAATGATATTTTGCTAATATTGTGCTAGGAGTTCATCAGTATTGTTGTCCTTGATTTTGTAGGCAACAAAATTGACACAAATTAAGGGAAAAAAAAACCTGTTTTAAGGTATGGGATAATAACATCAGTTTACTTGGTGTGTGTTTATTTACTAGTAGAAATAGTATATGAGTTACTTAACACGTGCTATGAAATACTAAATGGAATGCTAGCAATAAACTGGTACTGTATTGCCAGGACTGTGAAAATTGGTGTCTTAAAAGAGAATATATTGTAATATATCACTAGTTTTAGGTGTAGTTGTAGTTTAACTGTAGCTCTAGTGTAGTTGCAACAAGATAGAATGTGGAAATGTTTTCTGTAGATGTTTATGATTACATTCAGGACTTTGGATTCTATTTTCTAATTTAGCATTAATGTTGTAATAGACCTGCTACATTTATTCTGATCTAAAATTCTTGCTTAATTGACAAAGTTCTATCTCTTAAAGTTAAAAATCTAAGAGGTACCTGATATTTGTGGGCATGGGGGTGCAGTTACTTTTTTTTTTCTTGTTATTTATTTCTTTTTCCAGTATTTTTGCACACTTGCTGTTGAAGAGCTCTTCAAAATGTTCTCCATTTATAAATGTAAACTGGGGTTATGATACCCTACCCTATTTATATAAATACAGGCAATAAAAATTTTGCTTTTTGGAAATGAGGATTTTTAAGTGTCAAGGATATGTTTATATTCCACCGTAGTAACAAAGTTTAGTGAATTTTCCTGATAAATTCCATGTCCAGGTGAATGCAACTACGAACTTAAAAATGTCTAATTTTTTTAGTAAAGAAACTAATTTATAATGTTTTTAACTTGACTATACCTGTTGGTGTCCAATTCTATCACTTCCTTAAATTAGCTGCTTACTTTGATACTCAACATGTCTTTGAAATGTTTTGGATTATGAATGTGTGCAATATTCTGGCACTGCATAACTATCAGTCTTGGCTGCTGTAATTAGGCTTTCAGGCCAGCAATTACAATATTTGCAGAATTTACATAGTAAGAGGTGTATGTGTTTTAATGATCACATTTTCCCTTGTTTTGCTTTTAAATGGCTAAAGCTGTCATTTTGGGGGTTATTTGTCATCTTCTAACAAAGAATAGCTACAGATTATTACCCACAGTTACGTTTACATTTATTGTTTTCTGATATCTGCTCAACTCTGCAGTTAACTAGATTAAGCTGGCCTTGCATACTGAGGTGTTTTGACCCAGTGGTTCATGCTGATGACATTTTGTTATTTCCATTTCATTATATGCTCCAGCCTTGCCTCCCACTTTCTCATTGTGTGCACAGGCTGCTTACACGATCACAATGTAAGGGGTATGTGTGTGTCCGTGCCGAAGCAAGGACAGGAGAAGCAGGTCTGGTGGTGGTGACCAGGGTCGACCTAGAGTCCATTGCTGGCTAGGCAAGCCTGCAGTGACCCCCCTGAGAAGGCTTTTCCCTGTGCAGCCCTAGGTTCCTGCATAGTACCTCCGGGCACAGGTGCATTCTGATGGCCTCCCTCATGATCCCCACTAGAACTGAATTTCCCCAAGAGAATTTGTCAGATTTTAGTCTGTTCCTCCATTTCAGACTCATAGACTTGTTTCTGTACCTTAACCAACTGGGACACAAAACCCTTCCCCCTCCAGGCTGTCAGAGCAGAGGGAAGTCACAGTAGCTTGCTGGCCCACAACAGGCACTACTCCCACCTTCCTTACCTGGGTGTCCTTCTGCCCCACTGCTCCAGGCCTTTGTGCAGTAGTGACTCTTAACCACCATGTGATGATTTCCACGTCCACCAGGCTTGCCAAGGAGATTTGGCTGGAGAAAGTGAGAGCAGCATGGCTGTTGTTAACAGTGGCAATCTCTTGTGACTCCACACAAGGGCCAGTTGAGATGCAGCTGTGCCACTGCCCTCCCAAAGTGCAGAGATTCTTTCATTCCATGTGTAGGTTCCATAAATAAAACTTAACCTCTGTTTCATAACTTTCATTTGCAGTTTAGCCTGCTAAAGCAGAGTGCTGGTTTAAGAATTGTTTCTCAAAACATAGCTGTCTTAACTTCAAAACTATTTAATGAAGACTGGCCCATCTTAGGGGCCCCAGCAGCCAGGCAGGCAGCCTTAAGCTACCTCTCCTTTTCGGAGTGCTGAATAACCATCTTCTGCTAAGGCCTAGCCTGCACTGCAGCCAAGGGAGCCCAGTCTGGGATCTGCTCAGTTCCCATCTCCACCTTTCCAACAGCTATCTTACTGAAATTGTGCTTCCCTGGGCCTCTAGCAGACACACCCCTTCTATACCAGATTTGTTTTTTCCAGTTATGCTTGCTTAGATCAGGATCCTGCCAGCTGTGCCAGATGTTACAGGAGGAGAAGGCAATGTGACTGTGTCCCCCATGCTGATGTTGGGAAGGGTGCTCCAAATGTTCCCTATGCAAGGGCAGGGGAAAAAGGGCTGGGTCAAGAAAGGGCCAGGTACCAGAAGCTGCTCACAAGTGTGGTAGGAGCAGTTGGCTTGCTGTCCTGCTCCAAATGACAGGAACCTCTTCTAGTCAGCCCCAGTGACATCATTCACATCACACCTCCCCTTTCTGCTCCCGGGCTTCCACTTTCCCACCCTCAGATCCTTGCCAAGCAGCTGTCAGCTCCCATTTCACCCTTTCTGTTTCTGGCCCTGGTTTTGGTGTCATCCCCCTTCAGTGTTTATGACCACTGCCTTGGTGACTCCCCTTGGTCAGCAACCCACAGAGCTTCTATCTCCCATTCTGTTCTCCCCAAGGCCTGGCAGTTTCTCACACCTGGCATCGTGTCAGTGCAGCCCTAACTCGGGGTTAGCAGCCCCCTGGTTATCCCCTTCCCTTGAGTATCAGGGAGGGCTGGCAGGTTCCCACATTGCTATCCTGGTAAGGGCATATATGACCCAACCATGACATTAATATCCAAAATATTTTACAGTTCCTTGCATTGCTGCCTTTTTGGTACAGCCACAGAGCCAGGCTAGGCCATTATTCAACAACCTTAGTAGTCTATAGAGAAGCAGACGAATGAAATGCACATAGTGGAATCTTCTGTTTGTACACTGCTCGCCCAGCCACACATCATCACTGCGGGACTGCCTGAACAAGAAGAGTCTTGACTGACAAAGGGAAACTGGAACATTTACTGCTCAGATGTGTTCAAACATTACACGCAGGATCATGTATCCAAGGATGGTCTCGGCTGGGGATAAAGTGCTATAGCCATCTGGTGGTAGGCTATTCTGCTAGGCCTGTATAGTCTTGGTAACTAACTGTACATAACACTGTACAGCATATATATACATGCTCAAAATACCAATTTTCTAAAGTAGAATAGTATGAAAGACTTCCAAATGCTAGGAACATATGCATGCAGTTATTAAGAATTTCATTCTACTGAGCACTAAAATACAGCTGTGATAGCACTACAGGACAGAGCATGGTATCATGCCACACGGACCACACTTTGCTGTACGAGGCTGACTCCTACTTCAGAAATCCTCCTCCTTCCCAGTGACAGTAACTTTGTCACTGTCTGCTAAGAAGAAAGGGGAAAAAACACAGATCACCTCTTAACTTGATCATCCACCCAGTTTGTAGTAACTTTGGAAAGTAAGAAGTTTCTAAAACATGATTTCGACTGAAAATGGAGATGTCTATAAATAAGCACAAAGCAAGCAATCTTAGTAAGGCACTAAATCTAGCTATTAAACCTGAAAGCTGTTTGTGTGAAAGGCTAATGAACACAACTAAGATTTATTTAAAATACTTTAAGGTATCTCACTTAAATTCACAAAGAATATTTCCAAAGTTAGATTTTACTTGGACTGTGTTACCTTAAGAGATGCAAGAATTCTGGTATGTGCTGTAAGTAGCCTGGATAGTAACAAAATTGGGAACTGTGTGGAAGTTTACATGGTTAAAGTCATCATCACAAGCTGCCTGAACGTGGTACTTCTGCTGAGACTCCCTCCAAGAATAAATGTTGTGATGGGAACTCAACAGCACTTGAAATCCCCAAGACTAACTAGACATCTTCCAAGTGTTTAACATCAGTGCAAAAGGCAAGTACCTTGTACTCCACTTTGTTAAAATTACCCGTGTAAATTTTATATATATATAAAATAGGGGAGCCACCATGTGTCACTGAAAACAGCACTCTAACATGTAGTACTGATACAAAGAGTTAAATGTAGTCAGATCTTTTTTATTGGAGAAGAGACTATTTTCAAGATGCAAAATATACTTTATCAAAGCAAATTAAAAAACATCTTTACATTAAAGCCCAGATGTCTTCAACACAAGTTTCCTGTAAAGTATCCTAGAACCTCTACCAACAACAAAGTTTCCTACAAAACTTCAGTTTCTAGCAAGTCCAATCCCGCAAGAGAACACTGCTTAATGGATCCAAAAGGGTTATATATATTAAGACAGTGAGATATCCACAGAAGCATTCTCCTTCTTGATGAATAAATACATTTTCAAAGAAAACATTCTTCACTGGCAATACATGGCACACATAACAATGCCTTTTCAGATTATTTGTTGGAAATAAACTGCTATCATGCTGTCAGTCAAGAAAGTTACAATACATTTGTCCTCTCTGTATGTCTAAATATATGCTAAGAAAAATCAATTGTTCCTCCCAGTACCGAATGGGAAGTATTCAGGGAATTCATGAATAATTTTTAGTGCTTCATTGTAGAGTTCCAGATCTGAAACAGGGCAAAGAAAATGGTTATGATGCAGAAGCTAAACTCCCCACAAGCAAATGACATCATTAAAGCACTGCTTGTTTTAAAGCAGTACAGCTGAGTGTTCCCAATCCCCCTCATCCTCCTCCTATGTTTTCCCAAGGCAGCCACATCCTCATTGCTTCCAATCTGGATGGTTATTTCCGGCCTGCTAGCTGCACAATCACACAGGTCCAGCGCAAGGCAAGAACCACGAGGCTAGGATTGGAACAGTCACCAGACCATGCCCTAGACTGGCTCCAACTTCCAGTCAGTCCCTACAGTTTGACAGCAAACCAGTATCTTTTGTACAGAACTTTTCCCATGGCACTCTGCTTTTCTACATTCCACTCCATGTCTGTCTGGCAGCTTGAGGAAAGACCTTGTCCTTAAGAAAAGATTACCAATCAGGCTCTCCATTCTTAGTTATTGAAGAGTTCAGAACACAAAATGAATTTGTTATAATGTATATTTCTTACTTACCAAATGGACTTTTATCTTCTCTGAATTGGACATATGACATGCACATGATGGTTGCCTGATTTGTTACTCTTCCCACTACTTCAAGAACTCCTGAGATCTCTTCATCTAGCTACAAAGCATACCAAATACAAAATTAGTATCATTAAGTTAGCTAACATCTCTATTGCACAGCACTTAAGCTAGGAACTTTGCACAACTGATGGCTTGTTCACGACAACAGATTCTGTTCCATGTCAAACAATACAGTACTACTGAACACCCCTGTCCCCCACCTCAAAAAAACTCCACAAAAACCCTGAGCCACTTGGATTTACAGGCTTTGTAACAGCCAATTCACTACCAACACACAAAAAATATAAACATGAAGAAGCATCAGAGGGAAGATGCCAGTTTATAAGTATATAAAACTGTGTCATTTAATCTCTGAACAGAGACTAAACTAGGGCACAGTGCGCAGAAGAATCCCGATTTTAATGCACTGCATTCAAACCTGAGTAAATTATAGAATTCTGTTAAGAGCTAAGTAGGTATCACACATGCCAGAGAGCAGTTCCAACATTCCAGATTCAGGAGGTATAATCAGGAATTATTTCTTAGGTAATCTGTCTGTAAGTGTTCAGAATACAAAGACACCAACAACAACAAGCCTTTGGTTGAACAAGCGAAAAAAAAAGGCAAACAATTTTATCTTACTCCAAAAATCATAGAGCTTGAACATGCTTTCTTTCTTTATTAAGATATCATTTTAAGAGTGCAGTACTACTTCTTCAATAATGTTCTTCCAACATCTAACCCTTAACATTCTAGCAAGTTTCCTGGAACAGCCCAATAGATTTCCTCACCACAAAATTTTGCATTTCTCCATTGAAAGAGCTACACACAAGCAAACAAAGCAGGGGAAAAGTTAGAAAAGCATTTTGATTAGCTGATCTAGAAGTTCCTCCATTTACATCAGGCAAACCACAGGGATGAAGCTGGAACATTTTTTCTGCACACACCAGCTTCTCCTCCCTTACATATCAACAGAGACTGCAAAGTGACCAACATTGCAGTTATACATTTATGAAATTCAACCATTTACTCTATTACGGAAAGTTGTGGAATTGTTGGTCAGATGCTGACATCTTAAGCTTTGACAGCCCAAGGCAGGAACGTTTTCATGAGCTCAAGAGTTAAGGTTCAAGCAGAACTTGTAGGAGACATTGTCTTGCAGTTTGAAGATGAAGTCAGCAAGCTTCACACTTACAAAACAAAACTCTGCAAGATCAAACTGCATTTTCAGTCAACAAGGTGAGACTTCTGTCTGTGAAGTCACAGAATATCACATAAACATAAACTCAGTTAAGCATTCACCATCATGAAGAAAGTAATCCTTTAATTACAACATTTCTTAAAGAAAAAAAAAATACATAAAGACAGAAGAGAATGCCAGGGTATTATTCCCTTGGTGATATGTGATAAAAAAGGAAGCAACATTTCTGTGCAGTAGATATTAGCATATCTCATACCCATTACAGTAATCACTATATATATATATATATTTTTTTTTTTTTAAGAAAGAATGCTTCAAGATAACTATGACGTTTACTGGAATGGTATGACAAGTGTTCTAAGAGTATAGAGAAATGTCAACTCAGAAGACTCTCGAGAATATCATATTCTTGGATTTTTTGGGTTATCTTCACAAAATATTCTGTTAGGCTTACAAAGGTAATAAATAAGGGAGGAAAAAGTGCAAGGAAATAGAGCTAATAAATGCAGTGGACTATATTACACTGTAAGCAACACAGAAGACAAAGCAGCCAAACAGGGATAAAGAATGAGATCCCTCTCTTAACACCAGCTGAAAATTGACGAAGACTAAGGCAGTTCATGAATATGAAGACTGCAAGTCCGCTGGAAAGTGTAAGAAGCAGCAATGAAACATAGGTGGAAAAGGGAGAAACCAGGGATTTTTTTTTTTTCCTGCCTGAGAACTCTATACATGCAAGGCATGCACAGGTTTCAGAAAGGACAAAACCTCCGATATCCACAAGAGGCAACATCAAGTATTTCCAAAGTATTCCTTAACTTACAGGTTCGCTCAGCTCCACAGTCGCATGTTTTCCTTCTCCATCCGAAAGCACTAAAAGCTTCCCAGTAGGATGAATCTACAAAAGACATCAGGTTTGTGCGCTCCCAAGGCGGCTGCCAGCGTCACAGGCTGCACCGCCTCAACCAGAACAGCGCCGGGGGCCTTCCTCCGAAAGATCCGACCGTTACGGCCGCCTACCGCCCTACCCCGGACCCGTCCAGAGCCACTAGCCTCCCTCAGGCCAGGCGACAGACACCTCAAGGCCCCGGCCCAGGGCAAGGCCCTGCCCAGGGCGACAGGGCAGCTACCGGCCCCCCCCCCGCTCCC